AGGGAGAGGGGTACTGTCTCCACACGGACCGGCAGTCGAACCACATGTCGGTTTCACAAGACATTCCACACACCTGCAGCAGTTTGTGCATGTGTGCATAAACCAATAGTTCAGACACTAACGAGCAGGTACAAGAGGAATTGGTGAATAAATGTGGTGTACTCTATGATGTTGCAATGAATCACTTTCAAGGAGACCAGTTGTGGTCACGATGAATGGTGAAGGGGAGATTGGTGTAAGACAGAGGAGGGAGGACGAGATGAGAGAAGAGGAGGAGGAGGAGGATGAAGATGAAGGGAACAGTGGACTCTTCACTCCTGACCAGCAAGCTGTCATGTAAGGAACACCTATATTAGGACACTATATTGTGGACTCGTACAACACACGCACGCAAACTGTATGGTCAATACCTGACAGTGAAACAGATGTGTTGGTTCAAGCTGTCTTTATTGTGTGACAGTCTTCTCCACCACGAATGGGCTGGCAGCAATCACCATAGTCCAGAACTCCTGCGGGCTGTTAGGGAACAGATGGGTGATACAAGTAGTCAGGCTGCACCGCGGCTAAGGCGCTGACGTTCACGGTCGCAGTACTACTCATGTAGGCGTGGTGTTGTTCGGGTGGGGGGGGGGGGGGAAGGAAATACTCCCACTCCTGACATCTTTGTCTTCTACATTTTTTGTTCAAGTCATACTTTTACCCTTTTTTAAAAGCATGCACAGAGTATGTGTAATACTCACATATTATGATAAGAGAGAGCTGATAAGGAGAAAGGGCAGCAGCATTGACTCACTGGCCGCTGTTGACTCTCAGCAGTAGTGAACACTGCTCAACCTCCCTCTGAAAACGAACAGATGCAACGACAAGCAGAGTAGCATCTGCATTATCCAAGAGAGATCATCAGCAAATGCGTACATATCAATTTTTGCATTGATTGGTCAACTTGTGTGTGCAGCTATATAATTGCACCGGTTACATACAGTAGACAGATACAGGTGGCAGTGGTGACATCATCAGTAGTCATGATCCCAGGTTTACCAGCACCTCTTCCTCTCCTTTTCTTCCTCCACCTGGAAGAACTATCATGGAGACAGTGGGGAGGGAGTGGAGGGAGCTTTCAGAGGAAGCAGCCCCAGCTCCCTCTCTGTCACACAGGACTGCTGCTACAGAGCTCTGAGTGGGACAAAGGTTCAATATATTGCAAACACTCTCTTGCACGCTCACATTTCTGTACAGGCCGGATACATAAAACAAACAGTTCGGTGGGTTGTTCCTTACACACTTGCAGAACTGTATCTCAGATGTTTGAACCCACGTTGGGACACCCAATGTGGCCGCAGTGTGGAATTATACCCTGTTGTAACACCACGCATAATCATGCGCGCACGTACTCTTGGAAAATTTACAGGCACCCAATGGCTCCTATTTTAATGTGTACAAGTATACAAAACTCGTACAATCTGAATACAGTACAAACCTTTCTCTCCTGTTCCACAGTCGGAGAGCCTGAGAGTGTCTGAGGTAGTGAAGGTAGTGGTCTCTGTGCCACTGGATCTCGCGTCTCTCTGCCTCACTGTAGGCATAGTCTCTGTCCACGTACGTGTAGCGGGGGCTCCGCATATAGGGAGTGCTGCAGCATAGTGGGTGGGAGTGAGAGCTGTTGTGCACCATCATGTAGCCAATAAACACACAGTTTAAGTATAAAGACACGGTAGTGGTCAAAACAAATGAACGAAATTGGAAGACTCTTACTGTAGTATTTCAACAAGTGGAAAAATCATTTCTTCAAAATGAAAGGGGGATATAGGGATGGCTTGAAGCACCAAAAAGGAAGAAACAAGGGGTCATTACACAGCAAAGATGCACAAAGCTACATGACACCATCCCTAATCTTGTTCAATAAACTTTACT